GTGTGTGTGTGTGTGTGTGTGTGTGTTGTGTGTGTGTGTGGTGTGTGTGTGTGTAAATGGAGTCTGGGAGCTTTGAGAAGACTAATGGATGTTTTGTAATAAAATAAAATGATCTTACATTGTCAGAAAGATGAATCTCATTAGAGAGGTTTTTGAATATCTGCCTGTTGAATGTCTGTCTCCTCTTCAACACAGTGGAGTTTAATGCGATTGTAATCGTTGGTGCTCAAGCTTTTAATTAATTGGGAGATTTTCTCTTAGGTAAAGTTTTTTTCTTGCAGTGAACCAACTTGTTTAACCGACCTGTTGTACTTTTTAATGCGACTTTCCAGAAATGAGAACTGCAACGAGAACTTCACCACCGACTTCATCTACCAGCTGTACACGGAGGAGGACGAGGAGTGTTTGACTGCAGGAAGAACATCCTGGGTCACATGCAGCAGGTCGGACGGACGCACACACACACACACACACACACACACACACACACACACACACACACACACACCACACACACACCACACTTTATTCTGCAGCTACTTTTATCTTAAAAAAACATAAAATATACACTCACTTTTTTTGAGGTTGAAAATAGTTTTGTGTGTGTTTAAACATGCTTTTTGATGATGTTAAACATGATTACATACCTGTCTCTTGTATGTATATTTCGATCTTTGTGAGCTCTGTTCTTAATGTGCTGTTTCTCTCTTTTCACAGGGAGGAGCTCCTTCACCATTCGACAGAAACTTTGGCACTAAAGTTGCAGCTAAAGCCATCCAGTGGATCACGAGACGCTCAAGGACTCTTACAAAGGAGGTAAAACAAAAAAGCTCAGTTTCTACTACTGATGAAAACATTATGTCCACTCCTGGTTTCTGATTCGCTGAGGCTGTTCTCTCGATGCAGGTCGAGTGTTTGCTAACTCGGAGGACACGGCCTGCCTGCTGGGGATGCGTCGCAGAGCTCTCGTCTTCCAGCCCGTCTCTCAGCTCAGGGACGAGACCGACTTTGTGTAAGACAAACTTTCTGCTTCAACTTTTTAGCAGCAAAAAGCTCCTCAGTGTTAAAAAAGTTTAAAAAATGACTTTCATTATTGAGATAACTAATTGCATCTTATTCTCCAGTTTTGCAGCAAAACCTGTTTTAGGTTTAGAAATTATGACCTACAACTGTTTTGGAAAAAGATATATTTTTATGAATCCGGTCATGGTTTTATTTTTCTTAAAGGCTTTATATGAGATATTTTGATCCAGCAGATGTCGCCCTTGAGCACCAGCATGAAACCACAAACAACTCGCTGCATTGTTGTGTTAGCATGCTAATGCTAGCGATCTTTATTATGCTGGTATCTTCACACTGCATGTAAATTTACCTGAAATGAGCGTGATCTAGAAACACAGTTAAGCAGTGAGTACAGTATGTTATTCTTCTTTTCTCTAGTCCCTCAATTAAACAACTTTTATACACGAGGGGAGGAGTCAGCCGGCCGTCCAGGCGATGTAAACAAAGTGAAGATAGGACTCTGAAAACTCTGAAAGCATCACAGACAGTGGGACTCGGGTGTTACACCCATTGTAGACAGTGATGACTCACAGAGTTATTTTCAGAGGATATACTTGATATATACATTTAAGTGTGAAAAATCACATATAAAGACTTTAAAGGAATCTTCTCTTTTCGTTCCAATCTTGATGCTAAGCTAACTCTGGCCTACATTTTGCTGCATATCAACCCATGAACCTTTGCTCTGTATATTGATCATGATATCGTCTTCCTGGCCTTCAAGAAATCAACTGTACTTCCAATAAAAGAAACCATTTCCACATTTTGTTACGTAACTGTAAGGAGCCTAGAGGGACATTTTAGATTCATCCCTTTTTTAATAACTGGGGATTGGGGTTCCTTTCACCAACCCAAATCTGGTCCTGTGATGGTTGGGTGAAATATGTTGTTTTGTTGTATGGGTTGTTCTGCTGACAGTTGTTGTGGCATTTTGCTTGTAAGTCAAAGCATTTTGTAACCCCGGTTTCCAAAGGTTCTAAATATAAATAAAGTTATTAACCCCCCCGTCCTTGCGTTTTGTCTCCTCAGGCACAGGATCCCTAAGGAGCAGTGGTGGCTGAAGCTCCGTCCTCTGATGAAATCCTCGCCAAACAAGACGAGCTATGACGTGTCCGACTCCGGGCAGCTGGAACACGTGACCCGGGTCCGCCCCAAGGAGAGCAAGACCTCCGCGACCATCTGAACCCCCCCCCCCCGCACTACCACCTGCGAAGAAGAGAGCTTTACGACTCCCGACGAGAACACAGCTTCACAAAACGGGACAGCTACTCACACAATGACTGATCGACCGCTGATTGACTGCAAATAAAAGTTAAAGGTAGATTTGAAGAGATTTTAAAGAGTGAGACTGTAGGGTGAAGAAGTCATGGCAACTGTTTGGAAGGGGATCTTTAGCTCTTTCTGTAGTTTCAACAAGCCAGCACAGCTCATGTAGTATTTTATAGATCCCTTATCAAAGATATTAGAGACTTCAACATATTAATCTAAGCACTCCTCGTGATGTAAGTATGCAAGTTTGAGTCCTGAAAACGTAGCTTTATCTCCATTTGTCTGACGCTAGCCGAGCAAACGTTTGCACTCGGTTGACGACGCATTTCAAGTCTAGCTCGTGTGATTTTAAATTATTTTCTACAGCACTTTGAGCCCATCATTCATATATATATGTAATCCCCTTAAAGCTGCTTATAAAGAGAGAGTATTAGCAGGGAGGAGAATCACATGCTGTCAGTCTAACACCTTTAAAAAACTAATTAAAAACGTCCACTATCCTGATTGTTATTTAACAAGCCGAGCTGGCAGTGTGTGTGTGTGTGTGTGTGTGTGTGTGTGTGTGTGTGTGTGTGTGTGTGTGTGTGTGTGTGTGTGTGTGTGTGTGTGTGTGTGTGTCCTTTCACCTGCTAACCATGCGTATATGAGTGTGTGTTGTTGTGGTGTTGCCTTTGTTGTTTCTATCCACTCTGGGCTTTCTCTGTGTGTGTGTGTGTGTGTGTGTGTGTGTGTGTGTGTGTGTGTGAGACATCTCTATAGTGGTGTTTGTGAGTAGGGTCCTGCTGTTGCTGTAGTTTTGGAAGTGGAGCAACATTTTACCTTCATGTGCCGGCAGTGAGATGTGACCGTCCTGTCAGAGTAATAAAGCATTTATTGTGTGCAAAGACGTGTGACTCTGTTTTATTTATCAGTTAATTAGGATTTTAGAAAAGGGAACTGAGGTTAGAGTGTCTGATTTTAAAAACTCAATCATCTCACCAGATGTGTTGACCTGCAGCAATTCTTTGGTTTTATTCACCCTGAGTTTTAAATCTGTTGATTTGTGCTTCAAACCGATAAAATGGAGGGAAATTGATTTCACCTGTGGTGTTCAAAGACTTGAAAAATAATTGTTAAAACTTCAATTTAAGGTCATAATATTCACATTAACTAGCGGCTTATTAGCATGCTAACTAGTAGCATACTGGCTGCTTATTGGTCATTATGAAGCACTTATTAGTACCTTATCTACATGACCATAGTCTATAGTTAACAGGTCATTATCTAAGAGTTTGTTCTCATTACCTTCCTGATTACAGCTCATTGATAGAGAGTTAGAAGTTGTTGAACATGAGTTATGATCTTGATATGCTTTGTTTACTTCTACCTCATAAGGGTCGTACTGAGGGAAACATATTAAGATCATAATTCATGTTCAATCACTTCCTAACTTAGGAACCAATGAAAATGTGAAAATTGTGGAAAATAGGACCACAGCCTCCATACATGGGGCGTGCACAAAAACCACTAGACTACCTGCGCCCCCACAAAGACCAACATGACCTGACTGAGTGTTTGCACATGACTCAGTTTGTTGTTTGAATTAGACAGAATGGCTCTGATGTTCTTCCTCTGCTCTGAGTTTCCCAGAGTAAACCACAGAGGAAGAAAGTCATTTGTATCCTGCAGAAAAAGAAAAAAAACACCTGATTGAAGTTCATATAAATGGTATATCTCTTGATGATACTTTTGCAATGATCCCAAAAGAAGAGCTCACTCACATAGTGTATTCCAACATGATCATATATTTCATTAAATATATACAGAATGAAGACGTATCTGAACCATGACAGCAGCTCTCAGTCCTCCTCTTGATATTGTGCGCTTCAGCTTTTTGACTCTTTAATAAAAAATCCTAACCGTAGACTTTCAGCATTCAGTACAGAAGAAGTCGTGCAGCTGTGATTCTCCAGAAGTCCAGTTGAGTATTTAAATCACAAGTTACCTACAGACTGGATTATTTTACGATCCATGAGGGATCTTTTTTAATCGCCTCGTTCTCTGGACCCAAGATAGCAACTCCACACGTCCTCTGACCGACGCCGAGGTATCTGCAGCGAGGGGGAAAACAAGACACGAGTTAACACTTGATGTGGGAATAAACGGGAACAGTTTGTCAGTCTGTTTTTTCTTTTAGCTTTTCCTTCTCTTCATTTCTGAGTTATGTAAGGGGACATAAAGTTTGTACCTTTCAGCCACTTCCACCAGACTTTGGTGAGTGACAGCAAAAAGTCTTTCTCTGTGATTCTGCTTCATCTCATCGGTGACTCCGCTGAGGAAGCGACCCATTCCTGCAACACAAACACAGAGTGAACAAACCAGACGGCTAAGAGATAAAGTGGAGACAGTGACGGCTTTACAACAGAGACGGAGACTAAGTTAATAAAACTAATGAAGATCTCTTCATATCTGTACTTGCTTATAATTCAACTTTTTACTCATCATTTTATTCATTAATCCTTTAAAAGCTTTTAACCTCCATTAAAGACTTCTAATGTTGAAGATGTCAGTGATGTACTGAGATGTTAAAGCTCCAGAGATCTGATTGGAGGAGGATCAGGTGAGGCATCCTGACAGCAGCTGGAGGGATCACTCAGTCGTTCCTCACCTTTGTCCGCGGGGGCCACAGGCGAGTCTACAGCCGAGAACACTGACAGTTTAGCTTCATCGATGTCCTGCTGGGTGAACTGTCCCGACTTCGCCCAGTCCACACCTCGACGAAACGCAGACAAGGTCTGCACCGAGTTTGGATCCCTTAGAGAAGTACGAGAAAGAAATACAAAATCAACGACACACTGTTCATCTCAAAGAAGATTCTTTTTAAACGTAGAAGTCATTTGGAATATTTTATTACAGCTGCCAAAAATGCCCCATGATGGTTTCCCTTAGTAAATTGTTCAGTCTTCTGTGTCTCTTTTTTTCCAGACAGATCGCCTGAATATTCTTGGAATATAAACATTTTGCATTTTGGACAAAGGGAGGAAGAAGAGGTCACACTTGAGAATATGGCAACAACTGTCTTTCAGCAAATAAACTCAAATTACATGCGATTAGAACAAAATAAGTGCTGCTGCAACTTTGGTTCTTTCCCTTGTCTCTCCAAAACTTGATTTAAAATACATTTTAAAGGTCACATATTCTGTTAAATCCTCTTCACCATGTTTCTATGTGTCTCTAGTCCATCTTCAAACCCCCAATGATGAGAAAAGTCCATCCTCTCCGTCTTCTGCCTGCTCCACTTTTCAGAAAATGTGTACTCAAACAGGCCGTTTAGAGATTTTCCCTTCATGACATCACAAAGGGCAGTAGCCCCTCCCCCAGGTGGGTGACACTCCCACACTAGGTGTTTGTTCTGCCCTCTGAGTCTGCCTTCTCACCGTAAACAATAGAGCAGGTAGCAAGAAAGCCTGAGACACCCGAGCCCTTCCAGTGAGGGGGAGTGGTGAAACACAGCTCATTTACATATTTAAAGGTACAGACACAGAAACAGCCTGTTCTGAGCAGGGCTGAAATAGAGGGGTTTATAGACATGATGAAATATTGGATCAGAGTGGATTTAGAACAAGAAACTTCACACACATGTTTTGAGGAGCTCTGAGACTTTTTTAAACTGGTTGAAGAGAGGAGATATGTGACCTTTAACAAAATTCATATCTTGAAGACAACCCAGCCTGCCCCCTTTTATAGAATCTACCTCTACTCCTTCATAAGTACAGAGATTTTGTATGTATTAGATTCCATTAAATACACCTATTAACCAAAATGCACATCGTTTTCTAAGGTTCGAGAAAGCCTGAGTGTATATAAAATATTAAACTTGTTTCAGCCAAGGCAACAAAATGAACTGTTGTTGTATTTCCACGTCATTACAATTTCCACAATGTTTTTTAAAACTTTGTTGAGTGTGGTGTGGCGGCCTCTCACCTGTACGAGTAAAAAGAGAAAAGACCTCCTCCCATCCTGGCCCCGCCTCCGTAGGCTCCTCCCTTCTCCCTGATTTCTCCATGCAGAAACTTAGCCGTCATCATCCTTGCCAAGATGCACAAACTTTAAGAGAAAAAAGAAAACAACAAGTTTTTATTACACTTTAGATGAACTAAAAGTTACACGTAGAAAAACTGTCCGTGTAAATCAGACTTTTAAAGGAAGTGCTGCCAGGTACAGGTGTGGTTATCTGGCGTAGTCGTGGTGGGAGAAGGGTACCGTACGAATACTCTCGCTGATAAAGTGAACAGGGAAGGGAAGCTGGAAGAACATTTTCATCTGACACGGCTGGAAGTTTTGCTCCTGAAATCAGAGAAGATGATCTTTACTGTCACTGTACAAGTACAACAAAAACCTGTCGGAGCACACCTGTAGAGAAGTAGTTAAATATAGAACATATACAAATACTAAACCCACCAGTATATATACAAACAAAACAGTTATATTATACAATAAGATGTAAACTATGGTTAAAAGAGAGCTGAGCGGTACTGGTGGAATATTGTACTCAGGTATTTAAAAAAAACAAATAAGCGTTATATTTATAATCTCATGCATGCACAGGACTTTGTTTTGAAGGAATGTCTCATAATAAAGGACAAAATAAAATTACAGGTGATCTCACAACTATTGAAGTCAAAGGTTCAACTGTTTTGTGTTGGTGTTATTTTGCTTCTTCAAAGATTTTTGACTTTAAAATCTGTATTTTTGCGTTTCTATAAGACGGCCTTTCCTCATCTTTTCCATTATTTTATCTTCTTTAATCTGCAGAGACGGTTCTGCCTTTAA